TATCAGCAGCCACTTAACCCTCTATATCTTATCCAAATGGCAAAAGGGTGGATTTTTGTCTTCTCCCCAAAAGAGAAGTATACTGTACTTTTATTTATTCTCTTTTCAAATATTAGAGATTTGTAAATTTTTGTTTCAATGAGATGATAAAAATATTTGTTTCTGTTTTTTAGATCCTTACATCACCTGATGACTGTAACACACAGAATTTTGCTCTTCAGGTAGCAAGGATTCTTTTGTTTATATACTTTTTCTACCAAATGTTTATCCATTTTGATCAGTTGAGTCACGTTCTCTGATTAATTTTATGAATTAGGCCTATAGTATACACTAAAGTTGATTTTCAAAAGATTTGATGACCACCAAAAGATCCTAATTTGAAATAGTATCAAGCCTGGTGTCCTGGTTTAATTAAGATTACTATGAGATCTTATTACAAACAAATTGAACAATCCAATCCGCACGCTACGCCATAGGGAAGACAGTTTTGAACTCGCAGAACCATCTTTCCATAACCATTTATGCTGATGTAACACATCTATATGGATTATGTGTCCAAGTGTTTTCACAAACATCTACAATTCTATGCACACAATACTTAAAATTGAAAGATCCATATCCTTTGCCCCTGCCAAGTATGGAGTGTTCAACATAGGCACTTGAGTACAAATAGTAGAAGTCCATTTAAGGTAGGTGACGTGCATCATCTTACATTAAGTGCATGTTTAGTACACAGTATTAGACACGACTAAACAACATAATGGACAAGAGTTTAGCCTTTTTACCTTAACAAGTACTACCGAGTAGTACCAAGTCTACCTCATCAAACATGCTATAAACGGTCAATGTCTTCCTAGTTTCTCTTCGGCTCCTTTGAAATATCATTTATGAAGAGACTGTGTGTACAGGGCCTTGAAGCCATGCGACTAGACACATAAAATCAATACCTTCGGCATGACAATTATATAGCTCTCTAATTTCTGCAAATAAAATTCAAGTGCGGTATTTGAAGAAAATATATGGAGGAAGAAGAATTGGCGAAGATTAACACTTTCGTTCCTTTCTTTTTCAGGTGAAGAAAGTGTACCCTCTGGGCTTCTACATCTTGCTTACAGTATCCCCAGTGTTGGCGATGATGAACGTATTCTGGTTTTGGAAAATTGCGAAAGGCTTGGTAAAAACCTTGAACAAGGCAAGACACATTGAGCAGTAGAGTTGTGCTGCTGTAGTAGAATCACTGCTTTTGAATTTTACATCGAGGTACATTATTTCTTTGGCACACTTCTAATTCTTCACTGACAAGATGTATTGATGATTAACATTTGGGCCTTTCTTCGAATTAACAAAAATAGGTACATTCTCGTGTTCCGCCACACTCCATATCAAAGCCAAACTCAAGGAAGCTCTAATTCAACAGAACCAGTTCAGAACAAGTCCAGGAAATTGACACTTTCTATCTCAGTCAGTTGTCAGACTCCGGTTTTCATAGAGGTGGTTGTCACTGACTCACTGTAGCTGCCGCTAGAAATTTGGCAAAAATTGGATGTTAAAAAAGGAGTAATTGTTCCACGAGAGGGTTTGTAGGTAATTAAATATACTCTTT